AGGGCTCACACGTCCCTGTTCCTCCAGCTCAGAGTGAGGGCTCACACGTCCCTGTTCCTCCAGCTCAGAGTAAGGGCTCACACGTCCCTGTTCCTCCACCTCAGAGTGAGGGCTCACACGTCCCTACTCCTCCAGCTCAGAACAAAGGCTCACACATCCCTGTTCCTCCACCTCAGAGTAAGGGCTCACACATCCCTGTTCCTCCACCTCAGAGTGAGGGCTCACACATCCCTGTTCCTCCACCTCAGAACAAAGGCTCACACATCTCTGTTCCTCCACCTCAGAGTGAGGGCTCACACATCTCTGTTCCTCCACCTCAGAGTGAGGGCTCACACGTCCCTGTTCCTCCACCTCAGAGTGAGGGCTCACACGTCCCTGTTCCTCCACCTCAGAGTGAGGGCTCACACGTCCCTGTTCCTCCACCTCAGAACAAAGGCTCACACGTCCCTGTTCCTACACTAGAACAGACTGCTCTGTGCTTAGAATGTTAACATCTAGACCGCACGAGATACCACGAGGTTGGACCCATGTCCAAGAGCAGATCTCATATATGGCCTACACACATAGCCAGAGGTAATTTTACATATTTAATGCAAACCCTCACGAAGGCGCACATGGGATTTCCATTTGGGATATCATATTGGTGCTCAAAAAGTTTTAGATTTTGGAGTACTTTGGTTTTTGGTTTTGTTGGTTTTGGTCTTTTTTCTTTGTTTCTGCTTTTGATTAGGGACGTTCAACCTGTAATCAGCACAGCCCCAATTAGAAGCTCAGACTCGATACCTAAAAACAGCTCCCAGTTCCCCACGTCCCATCAGCACCAAAATAAACACAACCAACGCTGCCACTCTAATCAATGCCATCCCTGGGCCAGGTCATGGGGTCACCTTCAAACAATGGCACACACAGATAAATAAATAAACATGCTTCCTGGTACTGTTGATGATAAATCGGATCCTTGTTCTTAATGAACTGGTTTGGTGTATGTTCGGATTATACAGAGGTGTGGCTGAGTCCCTGGATGTATGCAGTACAGGCTTTACATGCTGTGAGCACAGAGGGAAGCCGGCTGTTGATGGTTCCATCCCAGGCTTGGCCCTTTACAGAGTCCCAGCTGCATGAACTCCGCGTCCGTTTCCTATTCTGAGGATGAAATAACTGGACCTCTGTTTTCTCTTGGAAGAAATTGTCAAACCGAGGGACAACCTTTGAATGCCACCATGGGCACCTCTAACTAGAAATTTCCTGGAAGCCGCGGAGAGACAGAGCTTGGTAAAGGACCCACTTCCGTGCAGACAATTATTGCTCAACGACAGTGGCGTCAATAGCTTTCTATGGCTGTAAATAATTCACGCCTTTCCGTCGATTTCAGACTGCCTTGCCGTACTTCTCTACCCCAGACCCAAGCTGACGGGGCAGGCTCGACTTACAGTTACGGATGTCACTCCAATCAGTGCCGGCAAAGAAGGGGTGGCGGCAGAGACCCTCAAACGTCAGCCTCTCCTTCGGGCCACACAGCAAACTCTGAATCAGATCCAGGAACTCACTGCTAACTTTTGGGTCTTCGGGAAACTTCAAAAATCGCTGTTCAGAAAAAAAGAAAAAAATTATTCCCTTAGCAGTGATTCAGTTTATGTCCTGACGCGAAGAGAGAATTTCTCATACATAAGTTCTTTTCATTCTTTTTTTAAAATAAAGTTTTGTGCCCTCATAACTTTAGACCAAAGGCATGCTCCTGAAATAAGTGGCCTACACACATCAATAGGCCTAGTTCTTTTGTTGGGGTTCAATGTCCTTCGTGGCTTGACCTGGAGCTCCCCTCTCCCGTCCAGTCTCACAGACACCCATCTCTCTCTCTGCTGTCCAACAGTGACGAGCTATTTCAGGCTCCCTGTACCATCTCACGCTGTTCTCTCGGCCTAGAGCTCCCTCCACCAGCACCGCCCCCAGCTCTCCCTGGCTACTCTCCTGACATTCCCTTCTGCATGCTCCCTCTAGACTCCACCCTTTCTTGCTCGCTTTTGGTTTTTTGAAACAGGGTTATCATTAAGTCCAGACGGGCATCAAGGATCTACCTGCCTCCACCCACCCAGCGTGTGGTCCGCTTTTGTGTGGACATGACATGCTATGGTTTCTGAGGGACGGTGACCTAGTACCCCACAGTACTGAGTATGATTCTGTCAAAGTCTGAATTACTGAGCAAGCAAACTGAAATGAATGATGGAAATGAGCTCCCAGAGTTATCTAGAGGGAAATTTCAACTCAAGAGAAGCCTCAGTAACAGCGTTCAAACATTTAAAAAAATATATGCATCAACCATTCCAGGAAAATGAAAATTGGATGAGAAACAAAATCAAAGGAATGAGGCCTCTTTTCTCCTTGAAGCCGAAACTGAAAAATGGGTTCATCATGTCCTTTAGAAATGGGCTTAATGGAATGTAAGTATATGTATTAGGACGTGGTTTTAATTCTACATTATACATGTGTGTGTGTACACATAAGTGTGTTACTTCAATTCTAACTTATCCGCTCACTTCTTCTCCACTTGAGAACCATGAGCTCCCGAGCCAAACAGCCGTGTTGTGCTCAGCATGTCCTGTTTGGTTTCTTCGTCAGCGTGTGAGGTGGTAATGCCTACCTCCCAGGGTTGTTTGAAAAAGAAGGGAGCTAAAAAGCTCGCTCATTGAGCCACACTCACGCACACTGAACAAAGGTGAACTCAAGATGTATTTCACAACCAATTAAAAGATGGAATTAAAACGGCAGCCATTTTCCGTTTTTTAGTGCTACCGAAAATGCTGGGATGCCCTTACGATGACTGACAGCTGCGATTCCGGAAGCTGCCGTGAAGAGTGCGTTACACGTGATTCTAACGAGCCTTCACCTGGAAGTTCATGATGTTGCTGAAGGTGCGGGCAGAGGTTCCCTCTGTGAATGGGGTTCTCCCGTAAACCATCTCATAGGCGACCACTCCCACTGACCACCAGTCACATTCCAGCCCGTAGGCGCCTCGTCGGTCCTCATTCATCACGGTCAGTACTTCGGGAGCCATGTAGTCTGGGGTCCCAATGGGGAGTTTGGCATTCACCTAGAAACCCGGAAATAAAAAGAATATAGCACTCTCAATTACCCGCCAGTAGGTGCCAACACCTGCCTTAGACGCCAGCCGATTTGCCACTGATTGCCATCCACTCAGGCACTTAAAACCTTCTGTCGAGTGGCACGCTATCAGGAAATGCCAATGCTTTACAAACTTTTAAAATGGGCCAGGATGGGCATAATACAACCCAACTGAGTGAAGATAAATGTCTTGGTACAATTTACTGATACAACAGTACTTCTTGCCAGTACTAAGGGAATGAACCCAGGACCTTATAAATAAGCCCTTCATTCCCACCCAAGCTCCGTTCCCAACTCAATGGAACTGCTTTTACTCAAAAACAAATACACACACACACACACACACACATACACACACAAATGTCAAAGCTGGGCTGGGGGACCCTAAGGGCTTGCCGCTACCCAGGCTACTCAAGTTGGTGAGCCCCAGGTTCAGTGAGAGACCCTGCTTCAAAATATAAAGTGGAGGGAAGTAGAGGGAGACCCTGTGTTGACCTCTGACCCTCATATCCATGCACACACATAGGCAAGCACACTGACATACATCACACAGGCAGAGGGAGAGGAAAAACAGTCTAAACATAGATCTACGATACAAGATCAATCTATTAATGAGAAACTGAAGGCTACACAAGAACAGCATCGAGCCAGACTACATCTCAAGTCTGGAAAAAAAAAAATGGAAAATGGCCGTAAGATCCATCTCCTCCTTCAGCCCACCTGCAGGGCACAGTGTGATGAGCAAGTCCCAGACAGGCTGTATGTTAATGAGTTCACCTTTCTCATTGCTCCTATGGCCCCCTCACTGTTCAGAAACCAGGTCCCTTCAACCCGCCAGCGCCCAGGCACTGCCCTTGGCAAAGGCAGAGCAGGACACTGCAGGAAGCCTTCCGACACAGCCAAACACATTCCGTTCCAGGGACAGTCCTCGTCACCTAAGGATTTCTGTTATAGGGTTTAATGCCTTTGTTTCTTAGAATGAAGTTGATAAAAGAATTGGACTTCCTGACCCTTACTAGGGGGCTCAGTAAGTCAGCAATCCCTTTGATCTTCAAAACTGTTTTTCAAGTTTTACTGAGCATGAAAAGTGAATGTGTGAAGACTCATGTCTATGCTCCTGCCCTTCAAAGCAGAGAGGCCTGACTTCAGACAGCAGTGCTGACCGGTGCCCTGGCACCCACAGCATTTACAGCCTTCTCGTGGTCAGCGGTTAGATGGTGCAGGAAAAAAAAAAAAAACTCATTGTTAAAGGGTTAAAAAGTGCCCCCAATGAAACCCAAAAACCCAGAAGACATGGACACACCCACTTAAGGCTGGACTTTTTATCAAGGAAGCAGATTTAGGCTGGGCGTAGTAGTATAAGGGGTCTGTTCTCCGCTGAAGAGGAGGAGGAGGACAGGCAGGAGGAGAGGGATGGCAAGTTCGCTCTGATTTGAGAGGAAGGAGGACGCTTAGAGCCGGGCACTACAAGGCCGCCCTCCCCTTTCAGCTATGACTTACAGCTTGTCCATCCTCCTACCAAGAAATGAGATTTTCCCGTAATTCTCCCATTCCCTCGTTTTTATTCTTAAGTAAAGTATGAACATGTGTATATAGAGAACATATAAGATATTCCTGTAATAATCCCATTCCTCTTTTCCCCATATATATATAATGGGAATATCAGAATATTCCTATAGCTTTCATGTTATTTCTCTCATGTATTTACACACACACACACACACACACACACACACACACACGTGTGTACATACAGTATAGGAATACTGCAGTCATCCCCGTAAACCCCCACTTCCTCTCCTCCCACCCTTTCCTCAGGCCCACAACCCGGAACAGTATGGTGCTGGCACTCCTGACACTGAGAACGCTCAGAAGTCAGGGTGCAGGAGGAATACCAGGCAGCCTGTGCCAGAGGCAACAGTGGAGCCCAGAGGCCAGAACTGAGTCCAGTCAGGCACAAGGTGACATATCCTTGAATCCAAAAGTGGCCGACGCTGGACACAGGCCTTGATGGCATCAGTGTGGGTCTTGCCGACTGGACGCCGGCTTCCCTTGTGGGCACAGGAAGCACACAGTTGTTAGATGAACATCATTTGCTGCAGCTAGGGCCTATTTTACTGTCACACGGTGTGTTCTAGAATATTCTGCCCTCTGTTTCCCGTCTTTGACGGGACACAATCACTTATTCACATCCAATGAGCTAAACCTGGCTGAGCTTAGTTTATTAGGATAACTAAATCAAAGGGTATAAAACGTCAACACCTTGTTTCTCAGCTAGTGATCAAAGAGAGTCAGATGATAATCCTGCAACTATTCTCATCTAATAGAAACGTATAAACATTTTTACAGATTGTCCTTATCTGTGGCCAGGCTAGAAAGCTACGAAAGCAAAACTGCCTCTAGTGTTTTCTCGATGGACGCGACTTCAACCCCCGTGCTTATTAGCAATTCACAAAGGCTTTTAATGATTACCAGGTTTCGATTAGTCACTGGCCTCCAAGCAGCAGGTCTTACGTGTGATCATAAGCTTCCTCACACGCTTGCACTCTGCTCTGACCGAAACTCAGCACTCAATCTGGGTGAGATAATCAAAGTGACCTAGGCATCCCGGGGGCATCCAAAGGGCACCGTCTGGCAGAGCGCAGGCCCTCCTCAGCTTTAGCGCGGCTCTCACTCTGCTGATTGAGAAATTAAAACAGGGGCAGCAAGAGACCAAAGAACAAGAGCGGGAATGTCTGCTGTATTTTAGGAAGAAAACAAAATAAAGAAAAAGGGGGGAAGGGAAAGGGAGAGAAGCAAAGTAACTGAAAAATTCAGCAGATTCTTTTAAAAATAAAATGGCTGGGCAGTGGTGGCGCACGCCTTTAATCCCAGCACTTGGGAGGCAGAAGCAGGTGGATCTCTCAGTTTGAGGCCAGCCTGGTCTATAGAGCGATTGCCAGGATAGCCAAGGCTACACTCAAAAACAAAAAACAAAGACAGAGAGAGATAAGATAGATAGATAGATAGATAGATAGATAGATAGATAGATAGATAGATAGA